ACTATACAATGAAATTTTTTGACATTTTTATGCTTTACTATAGTATGACATTTTATGCCTTGCTATATGACATTTTATATCTTATTTTACTATGAAATTTTTTGACATTTTATGCCTTACTATAGTATGACATTTTCATGCCTTACTATACAATGAAATTTTTTGACATTTTATGCCTTACTATAGTATGACATTTTATGACATTTGCATGCCTTACTATGACGTTTTTTGACATTATTAAGCCTTACTATGACGATTTTTGACATTTTCATGCCATACTATACTATTTCATTTTTTGACATTTTATGCCTTACTATACTATGACATTTTTTGATATTATTAAGCCTTACTATGACAATTTTTGACATTTTCATGCCATACTATACTATTTCATTTTTTGACATTTTATGCCTTACTATACTATGACATTTTTTGATATTATTAAGCCTTACTATGACAATTTTTGACATTTTCATGCCATACTATACTATTTCATTTTTTGACATTTTATGCCTTACTATACTATGACATTTTTTGATATTATTAAGCCTTACTATGACAATTTTTGACATTTTCATGCCATACTATACTATTTCATTTTTTGACATTTTATGCCTTACTATACTATGACATTTTTTGATATTATTAAGCCTTACTATGACAATTTTTGACATTTTCATGCCATACTATACTATTTCATTTTTTGACATTTTATGCCTTACTATACTATGACATTTTTTGATATTATTAAGCCTTACTATGACAATTTTTGACATTTTCATGCCATACTATACTATTTCATTTTTTGACATTTTATGCCTTACTATACTATGACATTTTTTGATATTATTAAGCCTTACTATGACAATTTTTGACATTTTCATGCCATACTATACTATTTCATTTTTTGACATTTTATGCCTTACTATACTATGACATTTTTTGATATTATTAAGCCTTACTATGACAATTTTTGACATTTTCATGCCATACTATACTATTTCATTTTTTGACATTTTATGCCTTACTATACTATGACATTTTATGCCTTACAATACTATGACATTTTATGCCTTAATATACTATGACATTTTTTGACATTTTCATGCCTTTCTATACTATGACATTTTTTGACATTTTCAAGCCTTACTATACTTTGTCATTTTATTCCTTACCATACTATGACCTTTTTATGACCTTTTATGCCTCAATAAACCATGATGTTTTTTTTGACGTTTTATGCCCTAATAAACTATGACCTTTTTTTTACATTTTCATGCCATACTATACTATGATGTTTTTTGACATTATTAAGCCTTACTATGACGATTTTTTACATTTTCATGCCATACTATACTTTGTCGTTTTATTCCTTACCATACTATGACCTTTTTATGACTTTTTATGCCTCAATAAACCATGATGTTTTTTTGACGTTTTATTCCATACTATAATATGATGGTTTTTTTTTACATTTTTATGCCATACTATAATTGACCTTTTTTTGCATTTTTAAGCCTTACTATACTTTGTTGTTTTATCTTTTACCATACTATGATGTTTTTATGACCTTTTATGCCTTAATATACTATAACGTTTTTTGACATTTTTATGCTATACTATACAATGACATTTTTGACATTATTAAGCCTTATTATACTTTGTCGTTTTATTCCTTACCATACTATGACCTTTTTATGACTTTTTATGCCTTAATAAACCATGATTTTTTTTTTAAGTTTTATGCCATACTAAACCATGACATTTTTTGGCAATTTTATGCCTTACTTTAGTATGTTGTTTTATTCCTTACTATACTATGTCCTTTTTATGACATTTCATGCCTTCTTATATTATGACATTTTTTGACATTTTCATGCCTTACTATACTATGACATTTTTTGACATTTTCATGCCTTTTTTTGACGTTTTAATGCCTCAATAAACTCTGACTTTTTATGCCGTTCTATACTATGACTCTTCCACACCTTATTATATGATGTCTTTTTTATACCTTAGTCTAGTATGACTTATGACATTTATATGACATATATGTCCCTATCTTAAGAGTGACATCACCATATGTGTCATCTATAAGTGAATACATTATTATGACATATATATATCATCTGGATATATGAAGACATAAGTTTATAATATGAAATACAACTTTATTAAAATGACATGCTTATTAAATTTCTATATGTTTGTATATGACTTATATAATTTGTCATTCAATCTAAACATACATGTCTATCTTTCATATTTACATATTTGGGAGGGGTGGGGTTGTTGTATCCCTACCAATGTTGACACCAAACCTATGCGCTTGGATGAAGCTCTTGTCAAGTGGCAATCACCACCACCTGCGCCCAGCAGGTGACACCATGTTCAGCTGCAGAAAAAACTTACAAATAGCTCCTTTAAGTGGTTTGGATCATTTTTACAGTCATTCAGATCAAACACCAAATCAGTAAATGTCAATAATGTTTTAAAGATACATGAGTGTGTACCTGTATAACCAAAAGGCCCATTGAAATTCTGATCGTTTCTAATATCAATCTGAAAGCAATAAGATAAGAAACAGATTTCAATTCACCATTACTAATTTGAAGGTCTCAGATACAGGACAAAGTGAATATTCTCCCAACCAGTTCATCAGGGAATCTGAATCATTCCTGCAGCATAAATAAGACCTCCATCTTGCAGTTGTGCAATAAGTGAGGTTGTGAAAGAAATTAAGGACCACAAAGGTCACAGAAGCTACTCACCTCACTTATCACTGCTGAGTGGAGTTGATTCAGGGTCTACCTTGTTAATAAATCACAACGAGTTCAGTATAATTATATAGTCGTTTGTGGATGATGCACCACTTAGTGTGTGGGTCTTGGGATAGTCACTCTGACACTCACACACACTCACAGATATGGGAAGACATCTGTGAACGACTTCCTTGTTTTCAACAGCACACAGGTGCTCTGTTGATGAAGGCTCATGAGTGAGGTTAATTAAACAGCATGTCTTGTCACATCCTCACAGCTTCCCAGTCTTCAGTCTTCCTCATCCACCTCACAGTCACAGAATGGGATGGGTTTACCTATGGGACAATCTGAAAAACCTGGTGACGATTGGAAACCAGGAACTGACCTAAAAAACATGAATGAACAAATACCTTTGTAGGTGTTTTAATTATAAATAATGGAGTGAAAATGACAGTGTTCTCCAATTAATTCTATAAGATTCTCAGGAACAGCTGACATTTTGGAATACAGCGATTTTCATTTCATTTGTCCTTAAATATAACAAATTTCATGCTTTAGACAGAAAGTGGTCGAAACCACTGTAGGTTACCTAAAGGAATCTTGATCTATTGTGTGCAGCAATCGCTTTAAAGTTTTTAAGGTCTTAAACTTAAAAGGGGTTTTCCATGACCGTCAGAGTTTTGTGTAACATGATATGACCAGAAAACATCATTTTATTTGTACTTTTTCTTTTTCTCCCTTCAAAGTTCCAGTTTTGAGAGTTCAAACTTTGTAGACATGAGGAAATCATTCAAGAGTCATGCAGCCTACATGGACAGGGTTAGGGTAAGTAGAGGTTTTTAGTGTATCTGATTCTTTGTGGTGCAGAATCAATGTTTCATTTCAAACTGGACAGATTGTGTTACAGAAGTGAGATAAAAGATTATTTGTTGTAGTTGATTAAGGAACAGCAATATTTATTCAAACAGAGAAGTTAAAGTGACATATTTGTTCCATATATAACTTATAGAATAGGGCTGGACAATATGACCAAGATCTATATAACAATGTACAATGTACTTTTCAAAGTTAAAAAACAATAGTCATTTTCATAATACATAATGCCTGATCATATTCACTTTCTTGTACTTGAAAATTGCTTTGTGAGTGAATTTAGGCCCGTATGGAATTCCTGCTGAGTAATTCAATAAATACGGTGCATTGTCCAGCCCTACTCCAGAAGTTATGGCCAGAGTCAAGGGAACACAGATTTCGATGAAATGGACTCAGTGGAGAGAAACAATAAATGGAACCAGTCCATGACCAGAATGTTCATCATCCCAGAGGGGAACAAAGCAGTTAAGGTGTTAAGGAAAAACCTCCTACAGGTGAATCTGCATGCAATTCTCTCAGTACACACAACAGATAGTTCAAATCTGAATGAAAGCAGCTCAAATGAACACAGCTGAACGCACAACCACAATCAACAATTCATCTCCTCAGCCTGAACTGATGAAATGACTACAAAGACTCATCTCCCCCAGACTGAAGTTCATATAATAATGACTTACAATAAAATTAAGTGATTGTGCTTTTATAACCAAAGTAGAACAAATAATACAAAGACAAGATGTACATCACTTATAAAACATTAACACTGTTCTATAAAATTTGAATTTGAAGCACTTCTGTGGCAGTAAACAATTCCAACAGTTTACAAGATGGCTGGTAATGACAGAATATCAATTACAGTAAAAATAACAAGACAACTGACAAGCAAAGATCATATGGACCGCATCAAGCAGTCGTCATGGACAATATTTTTGTAGACACTCACAACCGCCATCGAATGTGCATTCATCTTTACTGAGCAACCAGCGGTTCAGAGTCCTGGAGCTGGTCACCCGCAAAGCAAATAATAAACAGTGCATCAAATTGAAGTCCACAGACTTAAACATGAGAGCACTTTTTTTTACTCACAACCGCCATCGAATGTGCATTCATCTTTACTGAGCAACCAGCGGTTCAGAGTCCTGGAGCTGGTCACCCGCAAAGCAAATAATAAACAGTGCATCAAATTGAAGTCCACAGACTTAAACATGAGAGCACTTTTTTTTCTTTTTTCCAACACCTAATGAGAAATGTGAAGTAGAAAATGATAGCATGTATTGTGCAGTTTCTTTTAGTCTTTTTCCGTAAAGGTCAGAGTCCTTCGTCTGAAGCAACTGTAGGATATTCCTTTTGTGCTCGCATTGCTTCTTAGCTCTTCAGGAACTGTGAAAACAGAACAGTGTCATGATTGTCTCCTAGAGATAACTTACACACACAAAAACAAATATATTTGGAGTTTTGATTTACCTCTTCCACCTCTCCTCCCTGTTTGGTCCTTGAGTCTCCACATGACATAAAGCTGGATGAATTAGGATCATCAGGCTCCCTCTGAGCTTGACCTGATGGGAAAGAGGGACGACTGTACAGAAGGACGTCCCCAAATTCTGAGGGAGAGACAAGAAAGAAAACATTTTAATTGGCTAGACACTTCATTGGTTATTTAAAATTTTATTATTTAAAAAAATCCACCCGGTACCTGAGTGCTGTCGGTTTTTGCTACTTCCTTTTCCTCCTAGTGGAGTCCTGTGCTTGTCCTGGCTCTCTCTCTGCTCCAATGTGCCCTCCCTCACCCTGTGAGTCCCAGTGCTGCCGCGTCGACCCCGGGCGTCCCCAGAGCCCATCCGAGGCAGCGTGGCCCCCCTCACTTTATAGTCACCATGGGACATTTGGCTGGAGAAATTCAGAGGCATGCAAGTGTCTGGGGACACAGAGCACAGCACAGAGATCCAAATGTAAGTGTCATTAAAAGACACACAGAAGTGAATCTCTGATCTCACTCTTGGTTTAATCTTTACCATCATTGAAGACATCTTTGGGTTGGTAGCCCTGTTGACCAGACTGGTTCTGTTTATGCCTCCTGGGCCTTTTATGTGTTATTGCAGGACTCATGTTGCTGTCTGTGGACATGGGGCTGCTGGGACGCTGGTGCCGCCGGCCTAAAATCATTTAGCACAAAAAATATAAAATGTTTAGATTGCATAAATGTGACATACAAGAGAGAACATACAGCTGATACATTCAAAATAATTCTATCATTTTAAGTGCCCTGAGTTATTTCTATACAGAAGATTAATAATTATTTTAGTCAAACTGTTCACTGGGTACATGAAAACATTGATGACAGAGTCCAGGTTGATCAAAGCACGCCCACACACACACCTCCACCTCCAGAACAACTCACTAAATTAACATGATCTCACCTGATCTGACTGTTGCTTATTTAATCATGAATATTTTTCAGTTATCAGGAGCTTTAATTTAGTGACTGACGGTTAATGTGTCATTAACATTATTTGTAATGCATCAAATTTTTCCTTTTCCACTAAAGGAAATATTGGTTGAGACATGTAGAATGACATAAATGCATGACCAGAATGACATGGATGAAAAACACGTAAATGAAGAACCTTGAAACAAAACACTGAAGTAATTTCATTTTTTTCTTTAAGTTATTTTTTAGGGCATTTTCAAGTCATTTCTTCAAACCATTAAATCTGTGCATGAAGAAATGAACAACATATACACAATCAAAATAAAAAAAATAGATAAATATGATTAAATGAGTTTTGATGCCTTCTATAAAAGCCTCCTCACCTGACTCCTCTGGGTATCTGCACATGCGCAGGCCTACGATATCCCGTGACGAGGCTACTGCCTGGTTGAAATCGCCATCTGTAAAGAAGGATCCTTCTGAGGTGCTGACAACACTGGACCTGCCTGATGAGATGTTGTCCTCAGATGCTGAGCCCCAGCTGTTAACCATGGACCCTGTGACTGATCTGTCCAGATCCCCGATGCTGGAGGCTGGGGTCTGGTCCAGCCCGTGGAAGAGCAGCTTGTGTGGAGAGGGGTGGTGCAGCTGGTGTTTATGCTTCTGCCGGTTGTGGTGTTGGCTGTACTGACTGTCAGGGAGCTCTGCGTCTGTCTCCTCTTCTGCCTCCTCCTCATCCTCTTCCTGTTCATCAGTGTCCATGCAGAGGGGTATGGAGCTGTAGGTGTGTGATGGGGAGGGAGGACGGGGGTGGCCGGTGACATGTTGGCTGGAAATTGGTGCAGTCAACGTTGTCAAACGCTTTCTCTAGCATCAGTTAAAAATGTTTGAATGCAGTGACGGGAATGTCTCATCTGGTTACCTGAGGTGCTCGGCTCCATTGTGCAGGCCGCTGCTCAGGTCTCCCTGTGGTAGTGTAGCAGGTGGGTGACTATAGGACACTTCAGCGGGGGATGAGGCTGCCCCTCTGACTGGTGGAGTAGGACAGCTTTCTATTCTCTCCTCTGGGTTAAAACTTATAAGAAAAGGGCAACTGACGTGAGGTAATGGCTAAAGGAATGAGGGGTGCTAACAGCCCTGACACATCAGTCACAGCCCATTAGACATGAATGCAAAGCCCTCGGTCCAACATCAAAACACACACTAGTATTATTGTAAAATGTACAAAGGTGAACAATAAGCTTTCTGCACCATCTGGTTTTTATTGCTGAAATATACGGAATAGTCCTGTTCACTGTACATTTCATGAAATTGCTGTCTGACAATTACAAATATCTAAATTGTATAATTAGTTTGGGTAAAAGTGTTGGGTGTGACAATGAGGCCATGTTTTGACAGAAGGTTTGCAGGTGTTCACAGCATACCTCCAATTAAGCATGTGTGAGTCTGATAACTTTATCATATTAATGTTTTTTTTTCCAGTTATTTGAACCTGGTGGGCTGCAGTCTGCTAATGAGCAACAGAAGGCGCAGTAGCTGTAGTTTTACACGACACAGAGTAATATTTCTAAATGTATCTTAAGCACTGGTTTGTCAGTCAGTCTGCTGCATGTGTTACTGCATTCTGTATGTTTTTCCTTTGATTTAGAGATCCCACTTCAGCAATAACGACTTCATGTGCTAGAAGTGAACATGTATATTTGTGTGTGCTGTAAACAGGCATCTGTGCCCCCCCCCCCCCCCCCCCCCCCCCCCCTACCTCCTTTCCATGGGAAGGCTATACTCATCACAGTCCCAGGCATTAGCATGAGGAGGAGACGGGGCTTCTCCCCAGCTCACTGCATTATGTTTTGGCATCTTCGGGGCCCGTGTTCCTTTCTTTTGATTTTGACTCCCTGAGAAATGAGAAGAAAACACTGAGGTAAACACAGACTTACGCCTTGCCTCATCAAAATTCACCACCGGATGGAGCAGCTGCTGGCCTCACCTGAGGTGCTGTTGCTGCCTCTGTCTGAGCTGTGGTGTGAGCCTCCTGTGCTGTGATCCCGGGTCTGGTTGTAGGCGATGGTTTTGGGATGGATCATTCCTTCATTTCCTTGCAGATGATCTGAAGACAAAGAAGAAACAAATATACAAAATTTTCTGTTTCACATAAATGCAAATCAAATTGAACCCTGCTTTACCTTTATTTAGCATGTTTTGCTCAATTATGTTGTACTGCATCTGCGCTGCCATCTCCTTTGGTATGGGAGGAGGGTTGGGGGGCTGTTTCCACGAGGGCATGTCCAGAGGCTCTGCTATGGCGCCCCCAGAGGCCGCCTTATTCTTGATGCTGGCCTGAATGAGCTGCGTGGTGGCGTATGGGATGGGCTCATATGTGGCTGCTGAATCTCCTCCTGGACTTGCATAGCACAAGTTGGAGTTGTTGAATGTTTTAATCTCATTGAGCTTGTTGGAGAGGTTCACATCGCTGTAAATAGCCGTCTCAGAAGTGAGCTGCCCCCCCTGTTTGTTTTCTGGATGGTTTCCATAGTTGGCTATGCAGTCAGCTGAGGAAGACATGAAAGCAGCACATGGACAGATGAAGTCACAGACCTTCAGCATTGCTGGAAGCTGTTTGATTTTTATCAGACACACACACACACACACACACACACACCCACACACACACACACACACACACACACACACACACACACACAAACACACACACAATATGCGTGTCTGATAAAACTGTGAACTACGACATGAAGTCAGTCTTGCACCAACCTGGTCGGCTGTATGTTGTCATGTTGCTGTCACTGGTGCCGTTGCCATTATTGCAGCAGTTGATGCTACAGTCCTTGTGATTGGCACATGCATTAGGCCAATTGTCTGGCAGCCACAGCTGGTTTAGAGGTTCACCCATGGTGAGGAGGCCAGGTCTGCAACAAGGAGGACCACAGTGCTGTCAATCAAAACCTGCTGTCTTCATAAATCAGTGGTGAGCAAGCAATGGGGTGGATGCATACAGTTCATCATTTAGAGCAGGAAGACATCTCCCCCTAGTGTTTCTACAAAGTCAGTGCATTTCTCCTGTCTGTCTCCATGTAACTCAAAGGGATAAAAATAACACTCACCTGCCAGCACTGCACACAGACTCTCCTCTTTGATACGCAACTGCAAAGAGAAACAGAAAAACATTAAACCTTGATGAGCTGTCAAAAAGAGGAAGTGCCAAAGAGAGAAAACCATGAAAGGCAGGTAGAGAGTCTAAGCACAAATCTATAGTCTGAAGTCTACACTTACTTCAACACACACTTCTATCTGTAGGGCTCAAAGAGTGACTGTCTGGTTTAATCTATATGAAGACAACACAGATATCTGCCTGTGCCTTTACCCATCTCTCAGTGTGACTCCACCACTGATTTAGAAACACTGATTGAGACACTTTCTCATCCACCACCAGTAAAACATGAAACAAATTAAATTTATCCCATAGAATGGATTCCACATTTTCCTTATTTAATTAACTGAAACATACAGTGGCCCTGAGACCTAATGTATTCCCTTGTGTTGTGAGAAATGTTTTTTGAAGTTGCTTATTTGCTTGTGTTTTCTTAAGCTGCAGTGTGTTGAGCTCTCAGCGCCACCGTAGAAATGAACCCAGTGAGCAGGTGAGCTTGTCACACTATCAGCAAGTACATGTGGATGAAGTGAACTGTTGCTTTATTATAATGAGCAATTTCCACAATTTGATTCAGCAAATACATCTTCAAATGCTAGCACTGCATGGACTGTATAGGTACAGTAGCAACATTTGCTACTTATTTCCCACTATAGAGGAACAACTGTTTAATCACTTTCCATCATCATCTAATCTCACTTCCTCTTGGTTTGTTTGCTGTATTCTACGTATTCTCTGTTGAGATGTTTGAAAAACCCATTTAAATGTTCTTTTATCATTGTACAATCTTGGCACAATCAGTTGTGCTTCCATACCTTCCCATTTCCATCATGTCTGTATGAATTAGATATGATTGCACTTGGTGCATACATCAAATATCCCAGAGAGTAGCAGATGAATCATACCCCACATACCTGTAGGTGTAAAGGTGAATGATGGGACTGTAGGGACAGAAAGAGAGAGATCAGAGATCACTTCACCATACTTCAGTATTATTGTACCTATATGCTTCAGACTATGAGGTTTTCTTATATGCATGTAACCCCTGCTGTATGATGGACATCTCTTCATATAAAAATCTGATGTGTGCAAACATTTAAATAACCATATGCCACCTGCATCTTACTGCTGCCTCAGTCTTTGACATGTGTGTCCAGGTGAAGGTTAATGGGGGTGACAGGCAACCAGAAGGAGAGGAGAAAATAACAGTGATATTGTAGCAGACATAGTAATGGCAGGTTGACAGGCCTGCGCCTCCAAAAACCGTGCTGTGTTGAGGAAGTGACACTCTACAAATGAGCAAGTAAAGGTCAGCCTTTGAATGTCTGCATAATCGCACATGCAGATTTGTTTCTGAAGTCTTTGTGTCAAAGGAAGATTAGACAAGAGTATTTTTCAACATTTGATGTGCTCTGCTTATTAGCCTCTGAAAATATTCCTTAATATCACCACACTGTTTAGTGTGGTGGCAACACCCCTTCAACAACCACCTTCAAATATACCTGTAAAAGTAAGATGAAAAGCTGTTTTGCAGTTGCACACTGGGCCTTCAGTATATAGGCTGTGAATCAACATTTTGAACATACAGTATATTTATCCAACAAACACACATCCATCCATCTGCTACTCTAAAATATACACATGTCAAAGGAGCACACACCCTTGCGGATGCCAGTGTACGTGCTGCTCAGGCCACTTCTCTTCTTACGGTGACGGTAGAGCCACACGCTGAAAATCATGAGGACCAACCAGCAGGTGGCGCCAATGCCAGCGATAAATGCTGGTTGTCTCACAACATCTGAGATCTGAGACAACGTGTCTCTTTCCTCACTGATGTCCATCATCTGGCCTGCTGAGTCTGATCAGTGAAAGAGGAAACAGAGAAATCTGACATTACATGTGTGTGAAAACAGCAGCAATGAAGAAGAGACATAACTTAAGATTTCAGCGTGTTCAAACATGTTGAAGAGGCAGCAGACACAAAAGCAGTGTTGAAAAACTATCTGAACAGCTAAGTTACAGCAGGGAAGCACAATATGGTGCTTTATTCAAATTTTCACAAACACTGTTCAATGAAAAAGGATTCTAGAGAACATTATAGAAGTTTGTTTAATCCCAGTTCACTGACTGAACGCTCCCTTTTGGGAGAACTCTTACCTAATTGAAAGAAAGTGACATCGCTCTTGACCCCAGGTCCAGCTCCGTTGCTTGCTGCAACCTCTACACTGTAACGAATTCCTGGTGCCAGACTGGAAATGAGCACAGAGAAGGTGGAGCCATCGACCGACTGGTTCACGTGATAGCGACTCTCATTACCCAGGCACCAGATCTGTCAAGAGAAGGTGAGGAGGAGACAGGATGACAGTGACTGCCTGAGGGACACATCCTACAACACGAGAGGCATCAACAGTCTCACAAAGATACAGCAGTACATATGATTCAGAGCATTAGCACAGGAGAGGGCGGGAGCCTTCCTCTCTCACCTTGTACTCTTGAATGACTCCAACCTCTTCCGGGTCCGGAGGCGGTTTCCAGGCAATGAGGATGGCAGTTCCATTTACATCACTCTTTGTCACTGTGACACCCTGTGGTGCTCTATTGGGAGCTGAGGCAAAGAAGCTTACAGTTTACCATACAGTCATAAACACAATCTCATCTGCTGCTGTGTGCAGCCCAGACATGGTCAGTGTCTCTGACAGGAGCTCACTAAATAGAATAGAAATAAAATAAAAACACGTGTCTGTATTGTTGTCTATATATAAAGTGAAAGATGTTAAAGAATTGCACCAGTGTTATTCAGTTCCTGTCAGCTATTTATAGAAACACTGAACTTCACCCACTCACCTTCTTCCAATGTCCTAACCACCTTCACCTCACTGTCAGCTCCCTGGAACTCATCAAAGAAGGGGCGCACTTTGAACTCGTAGATGGAGCCTCTCTTCAGCTGACCGATCACCACCCCGTCCTCCCGTGGGCTGCGTACCTCCAGGACACTCCACTGCCCCTCAGGCTGCCCATGCTCAGCGGACGCCCTGTAAAGCACCTTGTAACCCTGGATGTATGGGGACTGCTGCTCGACCTGACGGAGATGCGGAGATAAAACATGCTGCATGAAAGTCATGACATGCGACTGTGAGAACCCTTTTTATTAACAGCAACTAAACATCAGTTACATACAACATAGAGTTTTAATGTAATGCAAGTTAAGTGTAATAATATTTGCATGTGAGTTAAAATAACACACATCCAGGAGGTTGGAGCCTGATCTTGTGAACAGTCTGCAGGAAGGATCTGTTCAAACTCACTTAATTCCCTTTTGCCTTTAGGGCAATACAGATTAACATTTCCTCATATCTGTAAATTCTCACAGTAAACCACAAGCTGAGCTCATTAATAGTTTCCTCTCAGGAAACTCTGGTCAAAATCAAGCCAGGAGAGGACGAAGCACTTTCCATTTAACCCACACAATAATGACAAAAGACGCTTTAAAAGATTTATCTGGGGGCATCCACACACGCACGCACGCACGCACGCACGCACGCACGCACACACACACACACACACACACACACACACACACACACACACACACACGCTGCACCTACATGTTTATGCCTTAGGAACTCAGTACGATGTAGCGCACCAAAGATAAATTCACCACAGTGCAGTGGATTTATTCTCTGCTAATAAATGCTAAGATAGAAACCCACATGTAATTTCAAAATATAATAAATCATTCAAACAAACACATTTTCACAAAACAGTTTCAGATTAGATGCTCCTCCTGAACCATTTAGAGCTCCATGTTTTATTTGCTCAGTCGTCATGGAGAGCTGGGAGACTAAAGGAAAATATGTCTGCTCCAAAATAACATCTGATAAAAACTGCCCCCACCTGACCCCTTGGCTTTTAAATCATTTGTTAATGTACAGTATGTTTTTACACTTACTTGCAGAATTGCACATTTGACCTTTTCCCATATTTACCCTGACTCTGACAACTTTGAGTATATGTAGCAAAGAAATGTTTGCTGTGTGCAGAACAGTCTACATTGTATGGTCAACTTACCATCCACTGCAGCCTGACAGCAGAAGACGACAGGACAGCTGGCGTGTGCAGGTGGATCACTACATCTCCCAGCTCCCTCTGGATGTGACGGTGATCCACTCCCTGCATGGTGGAGGTGCTGTCTATTGGTACCAAAGGAAGGAAAGAAGTTAAATAGCTGCAGTTTCTCTGCAGTTTAAGTGGCAGCTGTTTAACATGAAGCAAAGTTAAAAAAATTTTTTAAAAAAAGCCCACACTGACCCTGTGTTCTGACAGAGTCAGAGATTGGACTGGGGTCACTGAGGCCGTAAGCATTCACCGCTCTGATCATAAAGAGGTAGACAGCTCCAGGCTTCAGGTTCCTCAGGACAAAGGTCTGTGTCTTCACATGCTCAGCTAGAGTCACCCATCTGCTGCCCAGTGTATAACTGCAGGGAGAGGTGAGCGCATGAAAACAGTGAATACCAAGGTATTTCATTAAGCTCGCTAGATCATACTGTTAGATGCAGTTAAAACATGCTGGATAATCTGTCTAACCTGAAGGCCTCGATTAGGTAAGATGTAGGTGTTGCACCGGCACTGGGGTTGGTTTTCCATGACAGAGTGACAGAGGTGCGGCTGATATCAGTCACCTCAGGTTTAAACGGAGCACTGGGAATCAGGTTAGGATCTGTGGGATGACTGGACTGGACAACAACTCCAAACTCTGCCACAGAGATACCAACACATTCATTAAGAAGTTAGGTACCACTCTTCGGTGAGCACTGTTCAACAACTTTTCTCTCTGTCTCAGTATGAACATCTTACCTTCTACTTGCAAGTATGCTGTCCAGGAGGCCTCTCCATTTGGACTAGAAGCTACACAAGTGTAGAAGCCTGTGTCTCCCAGCTGAGGGGAGAGGGTACAGGAGCAGACATTAGAGGTTGGCTTAGCTCAGCACAGTTGCTGTAACTGCTAACTGCTGTACTAACATCATCCCCTACCTTAGTGTAGCGAATCTCCAGTGATCCTGCATCAGTTAGGGACATGCGGGAGTCCACTGGAGACACCAGCACACCATCCTTCTTCCAGTGGACTGTAGGAGGTGGAGGGCCTGCAGTCTGGCACCCCAGGACTACTGTGCTGTCCACAGGAACAGTCTGGTTGACTGGACCCTGCCTAATCACAGGAGGAGGTTGGTCTGACCCGGCTGTTAAAAAACACAAGCAAGAAAGTTCAAGACTATTACACTGACCTTTACACTTTCCCTGTAGCCCTGCTGCACATACACACATATACACACATATACATACTGTACCTAAAACACTAAAGTCCAGTGCTGTCTGCTTCAAACTGTTATTGGCTAACGTGCATTTCAATGGAAAATCCATTTTGGAGAAAAGTCCAAACCCATATTAGTCTTTGTTTCTTTATCAAATGTCCAAATGTCTCTGAGACAACACAAATGATGCATATTTAACATGAGATTTTTATTTCTCTCTCTACAATAGTCGCTCCTGTTATACCATGTTTGAGGTTTTTGTGGTCATGTTTAGGGAAGTAAAAGCACCTGTTTGAGGTTGGAGAAACAGTGTAGTCATTACAAGTACATTATAGGTAAAGTAAGGTTGAGCCTATGCAACAAAAGCACGTGGTCTAATGTTGTGCTCGTGCACCTAATATAAAGGAAACAGGGTTTCTTGATTTATGTCCGTCATGAGATGATATCATTTCCTGTCCTCAGGTTTATTCTGTATTAATAGTCAAAACAGGTGCAGTGTCTGGTAACTGAGTGATTAAGACCCATACCATCAAACTGCAACGTCCCCAGTTTGGGTCAGTGACCTTTGCCGCATGCTCTCTCCCTGCTTTGTCCTGTCTGCATCTGTACTATCACGATGGAATAAAGGCCACATTCCAAAAAGCGGTAAGCATACTGTCAACAGCGCATTATGGAACTGGAAATTGGGAATTGATGTTCACAAAAGATCAAAGCTGAAGAGAGAGACAGAAATAAGAGTAAGAAAGATGAAAGTAGAGAAAATGAAAATGAAATGCTGCCAAAAAATGAAAGACAGATAAGATGTGAAAGATATTGAGAGGGAAATTGGTAAAGAGAGAGAACAATAGGTTTAGCTGGCTGTGCAGGCAGTGAAGGAAAAAGAAATCAACTTTTCCCCTCCAGCGGAGAGCAACTAATCGTTCATTCGACAGTAGGTGCTGCTGGAGCCAACTCCAATCACAACGGCAAAGCCCGACTAATAACAATCCCACTAAGATAACAGAGCTCTCTCTCTGTCTCTCTCTCTCTTACATTTTAAAACCCTGTGGATGGGGGCAGGGCTTCTACGTAAATAAATAAATAAATAAAAAACCAAAAAAAAAAAAAAAAAAGGGTGATGGAAACACACCTTGAAAACTGCCGGCAGTAATGCAGAGCAGTTATTTCCATACAAATACACCACTCCAAACAGGGATAAGAGTGCGGTAGGATGGGGAGAATTTGGGGGAGGGCAGAGCAGAGAGACACAGACACAGACAAGAGTGCACTGCTATACACCAATGAAAAAACGGCATAAAACTCGACCCCATCTTTTTTTACTTCCATTACCTGTAACAACTTTTTCACTGAGAGGATGCCTTTCATTTCCCTACGAGGTGGCTGCAGAGCACACTGCCAATAAGAGCGGCAGATTATCCATTATAACTAAAAGGGCTGCACTGAGCAACTCAATGTGTAGATTCAGTAAATGTCTCTTTAACCCTGAAGCAATTATCTTCATTAATTTAATTTATGTACATAGTGCAAAGTTACCCAGACACATGTATTCATGATCACACAGGTCATTTAACTGGGAGGCTGTAGACTTTCCCGGTGGTTTGTAATTACTGGTGAGGGCCTCCGAGCACATTTAAATTGCTTTTTTCAAACAATTAACCGAGTTATTTCATCACCTAGAATTGGATGACAGTCCATCAGACCACGTTCCATATAAAAATGCCATAAAACATATCAAATGTCAATGCTACAGTCTCAATTCACACATATCTACAGTAGAATAGATCATAGACGGTGTTGCATTAATTGAAACTAGAGTTACAATAGATAGTAACTCTTCTATTTCCCCTGGTCCTTTTTATTCAGATTTTATTGTGTACACATTAAGAAATGGGACACTCTTTACACACAGTCACCATGGGAACAGAGGGTTTTGATCCCAACATGTGAACAACATCCTCTGAAATCCCTCTCCTGATAGTTAGTAACCAAGGCCAACTACCACACCTGAGGGAGGCAGCTCTCACCAGTCGGCAACCCGGGCCAATCTGTAGCCTAACACACCTGCTCAGTCGAGAAAAACTGCAGCACAAAGGAAGCGTGCTTAGCCAAGAGACAAAAACAGCACAGCTAGAAATGTGCTGAATAAAAGTCCCCCACATCTGCCCTCCATCACTCCTTCCCTGTACTCACAGTCTGTGACCTCCAGCAATGCTTTGGTAATAACACTGCCAGCGATGTTGAGAGCCTGGCAGCTGTAGAAGGCGCCATCAGAGTGCTGAACATCAGTAATGGTCAAACTGCCCATCTGGGAGACAGACAGGCGGCTGTAGGGCTGTGGTGGCTGGTAAGAGAACAGGAGACTCTGGGGGGGGGGGGGGGG